ATTTAAATTTAAATTGTAACTGTACACTAATTCAAGCTTGTACCTTTAAACCACATTACTATCGTTCACGCTCCACTTTACTCCCTTTTTTAATATTCAATTTTCGAAAAAAGTGAAACTTCATAAATTTTTCCTATATTATTTCCAAGCTGCTGCATATTTGTTGCATAACTATACCACTGCGAACTGAAAACACATACATACATAAGTACTAAGTACTTATGTAGCTATCAAACTTGCCCGGGGCTTGTTGGCGGTTCAGCGCACTTATTTGAACTTTTCGCTTTTATTTTATATTAGTTCACTATTTCCTGCACACCCAAACATACACAAATATACAAAAGTATTTAAGTACCTACATATGTGCATATGACTATAAGTACTTGTGCAAAAGTTATCAAAAATAAAACAACAACAAAACCAAATAACTGCTAATGAGCGCCTAGCAATTGCACCCCAGTTAAGCCATTGTGGCAAGCAGAAAAAAATAAGTACCTCAGCAATTGCGAGTTGTTTACGGCATGAAAAAAATATATATTGGAGAAACCCTGGAAAAAGAGAGACAGGCGCATATATGTACTACAAAACATTGCAAATTAGGCTAGCCATGCATAGTTATTTACAAGGAACTGGAAAACGAAAAGCAACTGTTTTTTTTTTTTTTTGCGACTCCATCTTTTGGGGGGAATTTAAATATGCCCAGCAGCCACATTGCAGAAAAAGTTTTATTTTCCTCTCGCTACCCTGCATTTGCGATTTAGTTATACATATACATATGCGGCATATTATTTTTCTTTTTAAGCATCATTTATTTAATTTTTTTACTTGCTTTACTATTCAACGAATAAAAAATGCTAAAAGTGCCGCAGGCGGGGCTCGCTATCGCTGCGTTAAAGTAATTACTTATAACATGCAACAGCATGCAACAATTGCTACCAACAATAAATGTAGCGTAAATAAAATAAAACGCATACATTGCCACATTCCGTGTTACAGCGCTTAGTGTAACCGGAAATAACGGTAAATTTGCTAAAGGGGCGCTACAATTTTATTACATTGTGTAACGCGCCGTTGCTGCTTGCCATATGTTGCAACATGCAATAAAAGTGCCACTTAATATAACTTGAAATTAATTTTTTTTCTCGCACAGGCGATTTTTCTGTGAATTTCCTCGATTCAATTTCTATTTAACACACCGGTAATCACCAACTAAAAAATAATACTCATTTCAGCACTAAGTAAGGAAGAATCAAGAAGCCAAACAAGCAAGAATGGAATTTACTTTTATTCCAAAACTTTCTACAACAACGCCGCAAATTTAATGCAGCAACACCAATAATGCAATAAAACTGCATTAAACACTAGCATTCTACTCGCTCTGCTCCATATAATTAAATTCTATTACATTTCCGGCTCGAACGCAAGAATGTCAGAGGAAACTAGAAACTCAAGAAAATGGAAACTTTAGCAATTTGCTGTGGCAAGCGGAGAAGTTCTAATCGCGACAAAGACATTCCAATCCATACACACACATACAACTATATATGTATGTATGTACATTTCACCGATTAACATTTACTCGTGACGGCCAACAGTCATTTCCTGGGCAGGATATACATACGCCAAAGACATAAATATCTATTAGCTCGGCCATATTACGCTAAAAGCAAGTTAAAAGCTTTGTGCGTAAATGAAAATGCGAATGCATTATCTGGCTAAACGGAGGCACTTTGCCACAATGCCACACTGACACGCTGACATTTCGAGGCCACACACATAAATTGCGGTTAGCGCGAAAGACGTGCGTGCCGCTGTTGCAACTGCTGTCTTAAGATTTTCATAGCTCATGCGGCTGTATGCATATTTGTATTATGGAGTTGTAGTTGTGGTGAGCATTTCCGGCGCAAGCATAAATAAATGTCACAATGAAGCTAGGCAGTTAAGCGATTGCTACCCAAATACGTGGGGTGAGAATGTTGGTCAATAAAGGCACTTGAAGTTTGTAGGAAATTACTTTGAACTAGAATGTTGTGTTAGTTTATAGATCGAGAGTTGTTAAGAATTAAATTGGCAAAATAAAAAATAAAATGTGCAATAATTGGAACTCTTTCTTGAATCGATGAATTTTCGATTTCACATTGTTGACATTTGCGGCATCTTTATATTATTACTGAAAATTTCCACCCGTTTTTCTTAATAAATTCAACTAAGTCCCCTAAAATACGGCCGATTTACGAATAAGTATAATGAAATATAGTTCTAATGTTTTGAAGATAGGATGTCTCAACAAGAACGCACGTTTCCATTGTGAAACAATAGTCATAAATAGTTTACATCAAGCGTTATTGATATTTTAATATACTTTATTTAATAGACAGCAATTAAAAGTGGAAAATAATATATGCGAAAAATGGCCGCCCTGACTTTAGTGACTATCGATATTTTAATATTATTTTTATCATTGATTTGCTATTAACCACCGTTTCTCACAGTAAATATCTTATTTCCAACTTAGCAGGAATATCGATAACGTCTGCGGTAATTCATAACTATCGATTAAGAAATAGAATGTTTCCTGCTTTCGGTATTTATCTAATAAAGTAGAATATAAATTATATCTTACTATTAACACCATACGACAGTAAATTTTACATACATACATACGGAAAAAAGATTCGCTCCTGAAACTAGGGACCAGATATAGTGTAACTGCGTTAAAAATATGGTTTATTTACGAAACATTCAAAAAAAATTAAGAGCAATACAGAGTAACCATAAGGGTAGCCAATGAAAAAGAAAATTTTATAAAATTAGGAAAATTTAGTCTTTTGACCCACAAGGACGAATAAGTATTGAAAATGTACTCTTAAAAAATATCTAATTTTAAATATTTTTTAAATGCTAATTCCACATTGTGCTCTAAGATATTTAAGGCATTAAATTCTAGAGAATTTTCTCTTTTACTGGATGCCTTTATTTTTATTTTTTTCTGCATTGCTCCTAATATTTTTCATAATTTTTTTTATTAATCATATCCTGGGATTTTAAAGTCCTTTTAAGAAAAATCTTGATGGCAGAGAAGAAAATTAAAAACGTAGTTACACAATATGTGGTCCCGTGTTTCACAAGTGAATAACTCAGTGAGAGGGGAGACAGTATGTTATGTATTTATATAAAAAAAAAAATTAATATTTATTGAAATTATGGTTTTACTTCCAATCGCAAAGCCATTGTGGTCTTATTGCGTATGGTGTTATTGCAACCCACCGATCCTGGATCGGTGCCTGAAAGAGATAATCTCATTACCCACAAAAAAACATACTTGCATACTTCTTTACAATTTTTCAAGTAAAATATAACATATGCGTCACAAACTTCTTTTCTTACGACAATATTGCTGCTTTACTTCAATAGTGGCATAATTCAAAATATACACAAATTTAGTTAGGTATGCAGAAATTAAGAAGACTTAGCTATCATCGATGATGTTGATGCTGACCTTGTAAATCGCTAGTTAGAAAATTTTGTTATTGAAATTACATAGTTCGAATTAACATCAGTGATGGCAGTTAAGTTCCAGAGGGGTTCTAATATCAAAAAGTAGTTTTTGTGGAAAGTTTTTTTAAATTTCAGATAGGTTGTATTGAATATAAGCCCTCGATGTATTTATTTTTATAATGGGAGTACATGTGTGTGAATTCCAAACTGTAAAGCCGTTTATCTCGAATTTTGCTTTTTTGAGTTATGACACTATTACTGTAATTGAATTAACTACCGAAGATGCATACAAAAAATTTTGTAATTTTCTTTTCTTTGATTGTTAAAAACATCCTCTGATGGCGTAAATAACCCTTCTTGACTTCTACGAATTTTCTATCGATTATTTCTTACAGAAAAGTATAGCGTTATTCAAAATTTCCTCAATAATATATGTATTTTGCTTCCGTAATTAAATGCAAATGTCTAATTCTTCATTCATGTTTTCTCTCTTCCAGCTGCATGATGATTTAGAGAAGGATCCCGATTACTCTGGTTCCGGTTTTGGTCCTGATGACGAAGACTCATCCACCGATTTGCAGCATTCGCATCGTGGAATTAATTCACAAACACAATCGGGTAAACATAATACGAACGCCAATAACAACGACGACGACGACGACGATCTCATCTCGAGTAGAACTCATCATCAAACGAATAGTGGCACAATCATTGGCAGCAATAGCGGCAGCAATTCAGGCATCATCGGTGGCAATAGTGGTAGCAACACTGGCCTCAATACAATTGGTAAAAATCATAGCACATACGCATATACGCATACATACATACATTCATATAAATACATACTTCACACTCATGCCATTTTACCATCTATTTTCGCGTTTACGCATAACTTTCACACTCACGCTCACTCTCATACTCACTAACACCACCACCGCCCCCCCACTCGTTCACATTTAACACACCCACTCGTACTTACTATTCTTTAAATATACATATATAAAAAATAAAAACGTTCGTTGAATGAACGCCACTTTTTGCGAAAATTATTATTATATGTACCTTCACTGCCCTTTCCCGCTCACATGAATTACATACATGCATATGTACCTTCACTATCAAAAGACATTAATTCAATCAAATCAATATCATTGCCATCGTTCATATCAACAGCCACAACGACGAAGCAAGCGTCTTCATCCACAACCACAAATCAAAACACTCCCACCACCACCACCACCACATCCACCTCATCCACAAGTTCTGCGACGGCGAGCAAAAATCGCGGCTCATCCTTATACCCCAACCAAGTCCATAAAACCCACTCACCCGCAACACCCCATTACCCTGCAGGCGGCGTTGCGCACACAGACGACGAAGATTTCGATCTCGGCGAGGGTGGTGATGACGTGGACGACGACGACAAGCAACAAATTAACGGCGGCGGTGGCGGCGGCGGCGACGGTGGCTTGTTTGCCGGCAGCGGTGATGGCGGTTTCATCGATCGCACTGACGACGATGACGATCACACCGGCGATGTGGATGAGGACGATCAAGAGGATCTCATTGAGCGTCCACATCAGCGTCAGCACGAGTTGGGCGGCAGCAAGCCAACGTCGAACGTTGACAGCAGCACTTCAAGCAGCACCACCTCTTCCACCTCATCATCCTCCACTACTGGCAGCAGCAGCGATAGCAATGATCGCAAGCAGATCTTGAGCGCTAATGGCGACGAGGACGATGAGCGTGTGGCCGAGCATGATGAAGATGAAGGCGACGACGATGAATTCGATGAAAACTATGATGAGGATAACAAGGGCGATGATGAGGACGACCCCGATGATCACGATGCTCATGTGCACGAAGAAGATGAGAATACCGAAGTGTACATCGATGGCACGGAACCGAATGCCAAGGGCGGCAGCGTCAGCCAGGATAACGAACGTCAGTGCCTTTACTTTGTTTTTTTCCATATCTTTTTCCTTTTATTCTATTATTCTATTAGCCTGGTTTGAAAATTTATTTATGTAATTTGGTCCAAATTTGGTTGCTTTTCTTATTGGCTAATTTTTATGAAATCTTTTTTTTTGTTGGTTATTTCTTATTCGATTTTTATTTATATGTTTTCTTGTATCTTGTGTTTGTTTGTGTTTGTATTGCTCACGCTTGCCCAGCGCTGTTTTTTTTATACATATTTAAATTCACTGCGTTTTGTTTTACATTCTCGAGATTCAATTACACGTATGCACATTTAAGAATTTTGGCCTTCAAGGCGCATGTTGTAATTTTGGTTTGTCATTTAGTAAAATTCATTGGCTTTATGTTTGTTTTTGTAGTTTGTGTTAATGTTTATTTTGGGAAAAATTTAGTTGGTTTTTAGGTTTTTTAAAGAAAAAGAAAAAACGAATATAAAATTTGTTCAGAGCCAGAATGAAAAGGGTACGAATTTACAATCCTTAGATACCATTCCATTTATTTGCACCGAAAATGGGAGTGGCTTCAAGTGATGCGACTCTTAACTTATAACATGTCCCCACCAAAAAGTTAACCATCTCAAATCGAACTTAACCACATCACTAACTATTGCTGTCCACACTGCGGTTTGAGGTTTATAAAGCAGTAAAAATGTAGAGACAGGGTTCGGACCTCAAAACTCGATTCAGGACTAAAAATCTGAGCAAAAACGAATTTTCCGTACTAGATTGAATTTTTTATTTTCGTTTCTGACATTAATTGTTTGACTTAAATATTTTCTATTCATGCAAAAATAAGAACGCGAGGCAATGTAAGGATAATATGTTACATATTTAGGTAATATTTAGCATTTTCTATAAAGTAGAACGTTTCTAACACCTAATTTTTTAAAGAGCAATAGGATCTAAACCTTTTCTACTTTATATAAATTTTATTCTACATATATGTTTTTAGAACTGAAGTATAGTTCTGCATCTGCCAATTTCTACAGCCATACATCAAAAAATAACGAAGTTACTTTATTGACGCATTGCTATGAAAGAGTTACTTTTTAGCAGTGAGATTTGGCTAACATTCAATTTTTTTACTGAAACCGGTGGTGAACACTCCAAAAACGGCCCCAAGAGGGGCATAACATGAATGAAAAAAAACGGAATAGATTTGAAGTCAAGCGGAGTAGAGGAGTAGATTTCAAATTTTTTCAAAAACCGGAGTAAATCTAATCTGATCTTAGTTAAGTCCAAACACTAGTAAGGAACGATTTTTTTACATTTTAACACAGGGTTGTATCGGACTTTCGACGTGGTTTCGAGTTGGTTAGCTTTTAACCATCTCAGTGAAATGGTTAATTGCTGTCATTTTTATATGGCGAAACTACGCTAAATGAAGTGGGTTATCGGGATAACCAACTCAACAGCCATAACTACGTGGTTAACTCCGGTGGGGACATGGTATAAGGGGAGCTTTGTAGAGAGGGATTTAGGAAAGGCAAATTGTTATCATCAAAACAAAGGTTCAGAGATGGCGCTACGACCCCTAAGATTGAAGCTTTCAGTGATTTTGGCAACCTTTCTAAACATCTTCCAAGCGGAAGTCTTTGCTATTAGTCTGCGCGCAGAGATTAACCCTCATAGCATTTGCCCAAGTGAGGGGGATTCTTTCGTTAATCAGGCAGCTCTTTTGGCTCTCTCAGCCAGCTCTTTTGGCCCTCTCACACTCATTGGTCCTGAAGTGTATTGAGAAGCTTAAAGCTCAGGCTGAAAGAAAACTCAATCCCACTGTTATAGGTACCAGACCGCACAGGAGTCGAAGGAAATTAGGAAGGTAATCAGTTAGCGAGAATGGCTGCTGCCTCGACGCCGACAGGACCTGAGGAAAATATCATACTGAGGACACTGCATTGGTAAAAAACCATGAGTCTTTGTCGAGCTATGAGCTTACTAGGGGGTGCAACCTAAAGAGTTACAAGTTACTCATAAACCTCCCCAAGTTAAGGCAAAGAATTAGAAGCTAGGAATTTGGTCAAATGATCTTTTTTCGATTTTGTGACTCTGCCAAAAATAGATATTTGCATTTCCTCCTGTAGTGTGAGGTCGTTTCACGGGGAAGGGAGAGGTGCACAGGACGTATATGGCTTAGAAAAGAGCTCATACGCTCTATACCCCTGGAAGTTATTCTGAAATTTATATAGCCTTTAAGGCTAGAAATTTTTTGTAGCCAAATTTAAAAAACTAAATCTTAATTTTAGAACTGTAATCTCATTAAGGGCTCGTCTACCAAGAGGAATCAAAGTATGGGAAAATACTAAAGTATTGACTTCAAAAGGGCATAGTCCTCATCAAACCTCTGTTAAAAAAAAATCTAAGATTCGTTGGTAGTGTTTTCTAGAGCTATACTGATGTTCAATAAGCTACACAGAATAACCTTCCTAGACTCGATGACACTTTAAGTCCCATAAGTTTATTTCTCTCAGTAGCTGTTCAAATCAGATCGTTCGGACAATATAACCTAACAAGTCTATTTCTGCTCTGAATTCAAATTGCCTTGGAAGTATTAACCATCCTCAGAGCCTTAAGATTCCTATAGAAATAGTTTGGTAGCATCAAAAATTGCTCACGACTTCATATGGCACCACTTGGGATTTCGTAGTAGGGATATTTAATAACTCACTAAAGAATAATTTGTCCAAAATTTATCTGCCCCTTAATTGTAAAAAAAAATTATCGAAATTACTAACTGAAAACAGCAGTATCAGCCCAAATCAGAAATCCGTTCTATCTAAATATTTAGCCAAAACCACCTTGACTCTTGGCCAGCATGAATTCGTGTAGGTGAACGTTCTTTATACTTAGGTAGAATAGAAATATCGTACAAAGCATACTATTTAAATTGAACGTATAAACGTAGTTGAACTGGTAGACCAGCCACCTCCTCCCCGAAAGTGGCATCCTTCCCAATTACTATTTATCCACAATAATGCCTACTTTGCAGCAACTAATACTGTTTACAATGCGTCTTAGCAAACAGTGTTCAGCCGCAAAATCACTTATACATAGTATGTATTTTATGACGGACACAAGTACGTAAATATTAGGCTGACAAACATTGCGCCTTTGGATAGACAACAAATATTTGTAGACTTGCTGTGAGGCCAATAGAGCAAAGAGGCAGCCAAGGTATTGAAATTGATTTTAATTGATATTAAGTACATAGAAACTAGTAAATTATACTCCGAGTATAGATATAATAGTAATTTGAATTTCTTAAAAGCCTAATAATATGCAGCAGTAACTGTGAATTCATATTTTTTAAATTTTTGATACTTTAAGTGGTAATGAATTATTAGGAGTTAATAGTTAGGTTATAAAAAGTTTTAAATTCAAAATATATGTAAAAGAATTACTTTAAATGCAAAATTTCGAATTAATTCGAAAGAGTTTATGATTTTTCAACTAATGATTTAAATTGTTTTTATTGCCATTTAGTTAAAGCTTAACAATATTTTTTTCTAAACTTTTGTTGAATTTTCTGTAAATAATTATAATTTAAATTTTGTTTATTTTTTATGCATCTCAGTTTTGGCTATGTTTCCCGTTGACAAATAGTATATTGATTTTAAATTTTCAATATAATTTCGAAACTGACAAACTGGCGTTCTAAATAACAATAACAAAAAACGGCAGTGATGAAAGTGTGCAATTAAAAATATATATTTATAAAAATTATTCTCCAACATAACAGCAATCCAACCCAAATAAGCCACATATCACAATTCAAGCGTCAACACATTTGCGACAAACTGTGTTTAACCAAAAATCAGAAAAGAAATTAAATTTCATCATCTCAGCTGCCTGCGCAAAATTAAGCATAAGCCATTTTTGTGTTGTCCTGAATTTATTATTACGAGCATACATACATACAGTGACTCAAGCAAATGGCCACTTCTTGGTTTTAATAAATATTCATATGGTATTGCCAACAAAATTTTTTTTTTTGTTAGTTTTCTATACCGTCCAGGCTTTAATCAAAAACATATACATAAATCCCATATTAAAATTTTCTAAAGAAAAATTTGGAAAATTCTACAAATTTTCGTCAAAATTTCAACTTTTTAATCTAAATCTGCAGAACATTTTTCGGTATGCAGTTTTATAGCCCCAACAATTTGAGTCCAATGAAGTGCAAGTTTCAAACGGCTAAAAAAATCCCGTTCGTTTTTGTGAATTTTTTTTTTGTGACGAAAATTTTTAGAATTTTCCTAAATCTTGTATGAAGTTTGAAACTGTGATTTACATGTTTTTGGCTAAAGCTTGGACGGTTTTTTTTATAGAAAAACAGCAAAAAATCGTTAACTCGAAATATATTACATTGTAATTAAAAAAAAAAAAAAACACGTAGTCTTCTGTTTGAGTCACCACTGTAAGTACGTCTGGTAATTACGTCTTTTGACCTAGACTGTCTGCAGTCACTCGCACACAAACTAAACTAAACTACACACCCACAATCGAGCGCATTTTTAATAAGTGCAAATACATACAAATAAATAAAAATGTTCATGCTCATATTTACCCGGAAAAAAAGAAAATTATCAAAGGCAATCATTTTGCCTCAGTGTCACATGTCCAGGCATGGGCAGAGAGTTAGCAGGTGCTAAAAGAGCGTAAGCGTCGCGTGTACGTATACAAGCGAGAGCGCAGCGATGAGAACACGACAGCATGCAAAATGAATTAGGCACACTAACACATTCTCACTTTTAGCTCACGCTTGTTTGTGGTAGTGCCCACCTCTGCACATGTCTATCTGTTTACACAATCACTTGTCCGTTCACGCTTTGCGCCTAAATTCATGCAACACTTTGTCATTTCATTTGATAACATAATTCAGTGGACGACAGAGTGTTTTGTAATTACTCAAGTAAATCTCATAAATACATACCAATATATTTACATACGTACGTACATGTTTCCTTAGAAATTACACAACAAAAGTATTCAACACGTTAAACCAATCGAAACAGTCATTCATCACGAAAGCATCGCAT